AGCCGGAGCCGCCTGCCGAGACCAGAGACGATGGCACTTCCAGACCCGGGAGCAGTTCTCCAGTCCGGAAGACGCCGATCGCTCCTGGGCCGTGGAGGGTGCCAGGTGCCTGCAGGGTGCCCCCGGCAGCGGGGGTGGCCGAGAAGCGGCTCTGACGATGCTTCGCCAGCACCATGTTTCTCGTCACGAGGTTCAGGAACCGGCTCGAGGGTGTGGGACGTGCTCGGCTCCTAATTAAATTATCTCTAAACCGCATGAAGGACCGTCTGGGCGGAGCGAACCTTCCGCAAGCTGCTGGGCCCTCGCCCTCCCGGCGGCCGTGTCCCGCGGCTTTCTGGGACCGCATCGCGCGTTCTGACCGAGCTCTGAACGCCCCTGCTGCCAGCGCCATCCTGCACCTCGTTCTCCTGCCGGGGCGTCTGCCCTGTCCGGTCGGGAGTCCCTCCCGCGCGCATTCCGGCTGCGGGAAGGGCGAGGTCTTGGTGGAGCGGGGGCTTCTCCAGCGCGTGTTGCACATTTGTTCTTGCTGTCGGGTGGGGAGACGGGCGGGTTGGTTCGGTCAGGGCAGCGAATGGCCACCGGCGCTCTTCGATCGATGCTTTTTCTTACATTTTTATACCTAACCCAAAAAATCCTGTAGATAAAAATGGTATTTGACATAATCAATGTTTTGTAATTTTGCTTTTTATGAACCCAGCAACGTGGCTTTGTTTCCCGGATTCCTGAGGATGCAAACGTCCCTCCGACCGACAATTCTGGGTTAAGTGTCGTGGCGCTTCTTCGTTTTCCCTTGCGGCTCCGTCGCTCCCCGCCCGCTCCCTCACGTTCAGCTGGTTGCGGTGCTGTTTGCTGACCTCCCACCTTTTCTTACGTACGGCTAGTTAGGATCCGGGGATTTTCCCTCCGTGGGTTCGAAGCCTCCGGTACGTCGCTGCGCGAGCTGCTCCCGGTGCTAAACCGCACGAGGTACCGGGCATGAGACTGGGGAGCTGTTGTTTGGGCCGCAGGACGTGTTTGAGAGAGGAAAGCCGCCGCCAGCCCCACAGCTGGCAGAGCAGCCCGCCTTGGGTTCCCGGGGCAGAGGGTTTCGG